TAGAAAAGCAGTGAAGGGGCAAGCCTTTGCTGACTTTATTGTAGAGATGACTCGTCCTCCTGACTCTCAAGTTCCAGACCAAGTCTGGAAGGTATATGTGGACGGAAGCTCTACTTCAAACGGTTGTGGAGCAGGCGTCGTATGTCAATCTCCAGAGGGCGACAGGTTCGAGTATGCTCTACGCTTCAGTTTCCAGGCTTCAAACAATGAGGCAGAATATGAAGCTTTACTAGCCGGGATCCGCATGTGTAAGGCGGCAGGGGCAAGGAAAATAGACGCCTGTTCTGATTCACAACTGATAGTGAGTCAGTACAATGGCGAATACGAAGCAACACATCCGGCCATGATCAAGTATTTACAGGCGGTCCGACAAGCAGTCGGCTCCCTTGAGGATTTCCATCTGATCCAAGTGCCGAGATCAGAAAACAACCAGGCAGATGCACTTTCGAAATTAGCATCATCCGCCTCCTCCGATACTCCTCGAACTGTGTTTTGGGAAGTAATGGAGAAGAGAAGCATCGAGGAAAATCCTATTGGAATCCTAGACAGAAGCTCAACCTGGATGGATTCAATCAGGGCATATCTGACAAACGGTACACTGCCGGATGATCCTCAACAGGCAGTAGCACTGAAAAAACGAGCCTCCTGTTTTGAAATGATACAGGGAGAACTTCACAAGAGGGGGCACCTTCAACCCTTCTTAAAGTGTGTTACTCCTGAAAAGGGACGAGAGATACTAGATGATCTTCACTCTGGTTTCTGTGCTTCCCATATAGGTGGTAGGATGCTTGCTCAAAGGGCAAGGCGGCAGGGCTACTTTTGGCCTACTTTGGAAGCAGATGCAATGGAGATGGTGAAAAAATGTGACAAGTGCCAAAGGTTTGGCAAATTAATTCACCGTCCGGCTACTGACCTCACTACCATTCACAGCCCACTACCGTTTGCTAAGTGGGGCATGGACATTCTGGGTCCATATACGCCTGCTACAGGCGGCAGAAGGTATATACTTGTTGCCGTTGACTACTTCACTAAATGGGTAGAGGCGGAGGCTGTAAAGGGAATCAAAACGAAAGATGTAATTTCATTCATTTGGAAAAACGTCATCACTCGGTTCGGGGTTCCCATGTCTATGGTTTTTGATAATGGTCCCCAATTTGAGACGCCTGTTCTCAAAAGCTGGTTGGGAGACCAAGGAATTGCACATTACTTTGCATCTGTCGGCCGTCCACAAGCAAACGGCCAGGTAGAAGCCTTTAATAAAATCATCTCAGACGGTCTCAAGAAAAAGATTGAACGAGCAGGCGGCCTATGGGCAGATGAACTACCACATGTTCTCTGGGCCATTAGGACGACTGAAAAAGGGGCGACTGGAGAAACTCCCTTCCTCCTAACTTATGGTGCAAAAGCTGTTCTTCCAATTGAACACTACGAGCCGACTCTTCGAGTAATGCTATATGACGAAGAGGCAAACTGGGAAGCTATGCGCCTGGCATTAGACTCACTTCCTGAAAAGAGGGGCAATGCTGTTTTGCGCCATGAGATCTATCGCCTGAGAATGACTAGATCATACAACAAAAAAGTACACAGGCGTCCACTCAAAGTAGGGGACTTTGTACTTACAAAAATGGAAGCAGTTGGTAGGGCTAATGAGTCTGGCAAACTAACTCCCAACTGGGAAGGACCCTACCGAATCTATGCGGAAGTCAGGGACGGTACCTACCGTCTGGAAACACCAGACGGACAACCGTTGCCTCGAACCTGGAATGTAGATAACCTTAAAAAATATTTTTTCTGAATGATGTAAAGTAAAGAGCTACTTAATAAAGTTTGCACTTACTATTCAATTTTGTATTACGAGGGGCATGCCGTCTGTACCTTTACAGTCGGCTACTCTCCATTGAGTATTTTTACTCTATCTCCAGAGGGGCATGCCGTCTGTACCTTTACAGTCGGCTACTCTCCATTGAGTTTCACTCTTTATCTTTAGAGGGGCATGCCGTCTGTTCCTTTACAGTCGGCTACTCTCCATCGAGTATTTTACTCACAATACTTAGCTAAAAAGATTAGGGCCTGGCCGATCCTGTAACTAACAGGCGGCTACCCTTCTTTTACTTAGCACCTACGTTCACCAAGAACTTACCAAGGCCACCGGTCGAATGATCAGACCAGGCGCCAAGCCACCTGATCAAATCTTCTTCTTCTATCTCCGAAACTCCACACCGTCAAACTTCTTGAGTTTGACAAAATTTGTGGTCAATTCTTTCACACTAGACATGCTTGCTAAGATATTTAAACTCTTTAGATTGTTAGGTTTTCAAGTAATTCAAGAACAAGAACTACTTTAACAATTGTGGGAACAAAACCTAACTATGTATAATTAATAATGAATTATACAATAATCCAAATACAATTCAATGTATTACAACCAAACACCAATTTATCAAAGTATTACAGAAAAACACAATGAAAACTCTAGTAGTGAAAGATAATATACTTGCCTCTCCTCCAAGCCTTAACAACCAACATGAACATGAGAAAATCAGTGACCACTTGAGTCTAATTCCTTGATACACTGTCTTAGGCGTGTAAACACTTTCCTAAAGAGTTTAATTTCCCCCACAATGGTGCTTGGGTTTAATTCGGAAATATTCTTTGAGATACAAAAGACAAGCCCAACGTTCTTCGCACTTAAGAATCGAAGAAAAGATGATCAATACACAAATAGGATTAATTGAAAGAGATTTCTCACAAAAGTTTGCAAGAAGTTTGTGAGGAATTGTGAAGAATTCTTAGGGAGAGAAGAAGAATAATTTTCTGTGTCTCTCGAATCTAGGAAAAACAAGCCTTTTATTAAAGACTTAACCGTCAGAATTTCGCGAAAACAGATTGGCGCGGGCGCGCCTCTCCTAAACTTGCGAAATTCACAAAGGAAGGCAGAGTGGTACGCGGTTTAGGCGCAACCACAGGCGCGGGCGCGCCATCTATGACGCGCGGACGCGCCACCAGATGCGCGGCCGCGCCAACTGCACCCTTCCAAATATCCAAATTCCAGTGAGGTCCGCGGTTTAGGCGCGACCTCAGCGCGGCCGCACGTACCTAGCGCGGGCGCTACTCATGGTTCGCGAGCGCGCAACCATCAACACTCTAAATATTCCAACAGTTCTTATTAGTCTTGCTTAGTATTTTAGTTCATTTTGGTTTGATTTGGTTTAGTTTCGATGATTCGATGCTTTTATGGGTAGTTTCGTTGTTTTTTATGTATTTCAGGATTAACGAAGCTAATTTAGAGATTTTATGAAGTCTTGAGACTAAACCGAGGCCCACGGACCTTCACGAAGTTCGTTAGTCGAAGAATGAGTCACTTAGGCCTTTTTGGAGTCAAGCACGACCATGTTTAAGAGAGACACGCCCATGCCCAGCTTAGGCACGTCCGTGCCTGAGCCTCAGAAACTGAGGCAAATTCTCTGGAAGTGAGACACGTCCGTGTCTCTGCTGCTGCCTTCGAATCTGCATATGAGGCACGTCCGTGCCTGGAGTCAAGAAGATGAGAAGAACCTTACTCGAAGTGAGGCACGTCCGTGCCTCTTGTAGGCACGTCCGTGCCTCTTTGAAGGGTTATGCGCTGAATTTTCTTACGTTTTCTTATCTTTTTGTTGGGAGTATAAATACCCTAGACTTTAATATATTTCAGGATCTAGCATTCCTTATGAGACCTAGTTTCTCTAAAACTTTTACGTTGCTTTTGTAATTATAGATTCAAGTTCTACTTTTGCAATCTCCATTTATTTCAAGATTTGGTATTTTCCTTTCATTCCTTATTTCTTAATTATGTTTTCCTTGATTATTTTTACTATTGCTTATTTCAATATATGTGAGTAGTTTTTATATTCCAAGATCTAGGGTAACCCAATTGTGATTGATGCATGAATTGATTCTTTAAATTCTCTAATGACAATTGTGATTATTTATGCTAATTTTATTGTGATTATGCCAATACTAGATTAGAGATAATTAGTATTTTTATTATTCCATAGTTTTAATCACAACGAGAATTGGGTTTTAACGAATTTGAATAGATCAATTTAGGGTTTGAGATTCATCACGAGAGTAGTTGAATTGATAATTGGGAAGCGAAGTAAAGTGTTTAATGTCTCTAATTTGCATGATTCCATGAGAATAGGCTTGATTGTGGTTAGAGAAGCCATTGATACTCGAGAGAGATCCTTGGTATTTATTAGGGTTTGCTTTTCCCCATGTTAATTGGATTTGTATGCTAGGGGTAGATAGATAATTGCATCGATCGTAATTGTGGTGATACTTGATCTTGGATGTTTTATCACATTCTTTAGATTTATTGAGTTCTTTATATATTAGTTCTTAGAATATTTCACCATTGATTGTTACTTGCTTAGGGATAATTTGAGTCTATTTAATTAGGTGAACCTTAGTCTCTTGGGATTCGATCCTTACTTGTCCGTCTACATAGTAGTGGTCTCGTTAGGTTATTTTTGTTTGGTAAGCGACACGCCTATCATGAAGAAATCTATCTTACTTCCTATTCCAAACAAAAGCTTCTCCTTTAGATTGGGATACACTAAACGAAAAAGGTAAAAAGGCACCGGTTCAAACCCGCCCTTTGGCACCGGTTTTGAACCGTTGGGTATTTGAGGGATGCCAAATCCATGAAAATTTGGCACCGGTTTTCAACCGGTGCCAAGGAAAGCATTTAGCACCGGTTGACCGATGCTAACTACATGATTTGGCACCGGTTAATCAGTGCCAACTACATGCTTTGGCACCGGTTAAGCGGTGCCAACTACCATGGCGCCAATTTTTGTTTTTATTTTTAATACTATTGGCACCGGTTCTGAGTGAGAATCGGTGCGAAAAACCCTACTTTAGGCACCGGTTCTTCCTTTGAACCGGTGCCTAAAGTCTCAAAAAAATATTTTAAAAAAACTCTTGGCACCGGTTCTGGTCCAAACCGGTGCCAAAAATACCCAAAAAAATAAATAAAAAAATTTTTGTTTTGCATTTTTTCCACTTAAACTGATATAGAAACATTAACATATATATAAAGTTACATTTTTTCATTAAAAAAGGCTAAAATATTACAATTTTCGTCCAAAAAAAAATTTGAAGTGTCCAAAGAAAAAATTAGGTCCTTTAGAGTGGTCATGCTCGGCCACCAATCTTGGTCCTTCTTATCACCGTGGCCTACTTCTCTCATTTCCTTCCACCAGAGCTGTTCGATTAAAGCAAAACATTGTAGGACTCGATCGAGCAGTGGAGAGGACTTGCATGTCCAAGAAAAAACTGGCATCACTCAGACATTTGACAGTAGTATTTCTTGGTAGAAACCTGGATAAGTTGTCACAGTGCAAGAACACTACTAAACCCCCTGCAGAGCAACCAGAAAGCAAAGCCTGCAGATCATGAGTACGAACAGATGTCAAATGCCTATGATTTTCGCAAGGTGTTAAGAAGCTTTTCACATTTGATTTCATGATATTATCATCGAAACCTACCTTCTTTGCATGTGCCAACCCTTTTGGAAGAAGATCAAGAATCATTGCCTGCCAAATTTTTTGCCCTCTAAAGTAAATCACTGAGGTCTGTCCAATGGTAACATACAAAATTAGAGAAATGGAGAAAATAATTATTTACTGTAATTCTGAAACCCACACAAACAGATCAGACCAAGCCATTAAGTGAAGTATGTATACCCCATGTCAAACTTGGAATCGCCAGCAAAGGAAGCTCCATCACAGTATCTTAGCTTGACGCGGTTCCAATTGTAGAAGTCTGTTGTCAATATTATATAAAGAAAACTTTGAATCAATAACGCGAAACTAAACAAAGCTTTCTTAAGATTAAATCATCACTTTCACATCCTATATGCTCTAGGTTATTTTTTCACATAGAACATGTCTAATAGTTACTAAGTTGGATAAACAAGAACCTGGCCTATACACATTATAAATCATTGGAATGGATTATGATTATAAAGCAGGTTATGCAGCCAACCATACTAGCCGCCCACTAGGCTAGATAGCATGAAGGAGATCTATCATCACAGTAATAATTGAAGCAGCGCATGTACCCAGTGAGTCCAATCTAAATTAAAATTTCCAACTTCATCTGCGTGGCCTGGAAGGTCTTGTTTCAGCTTCTGCGTTCTGATATCCCATATCTAATTGAGAAGATAGGAAATCAGCAATAAACTAAATATAATCATATAAAATGCAACTAATCTCACAAGCCACACCAACATTATTATGATTAAAGACTAAATCCATCAAACAGAAATAGACCTCATCTTCATCACACAATTTGGATCTCATAATATGAAGAAACAAGGTGAACCTACAATGTCGTGATATATAGCCAGAATTTAGTTGGCTTTGTGCAAATAAGTTTAATGATATTATCACTTCATGTTAGAGTTCTAGCTTATGTTAAATGAGAGTCAACTTCTAATCCTGTATGCTGCCTGCACAAGACAGGCATCATATTTTGTGTTCATCCTTCCTCTTTAGGGGTTACTACTTACTACGGAGTCAAAATTCATATATGATTCAAGGTGATATTGCCAAATACTGAATGAAGCTTTCATGATGAAATGGGGTATCACTATCTATCAAGGTTCCCAAGGCTACAAGAGAAAAGGTGGATTGGACCCCTCTACATTTGCTGAGATAACTTCTCGTTGAAGTGGAAGTTGGATAATTGTTACTTGTACTAACCTTTAGCGTGGAGTCCTTGCTACCACTCAATAGGAGTCTGCTATCTGCAGACCAACTGCAATGGAACATAAAATATCAGATCAACAACAGCGTCCACCATATTTTTGAAAATTTGAGGAATATAGGAAAAATTCAGACCTTATTTGATAAACAGGCCCAACATGACCCCGAAAAACAGCAACAAATTTCCCCGTAACACCATTCCACAACTTAATAGATTTATCAAAGGGAGCACTTGCCACCCATTGCCCATCAGGAGAAAAGTAAACATGATTCACAAGCTGAGTGAAACAACAAATGAAAATCTTAGATGGCAACCAGCCAACAAGTAACTATTATATTATAGCCAATAAAGAAATGTGGAAAAGGAGATACAACATTGAAAATCAAATATGAGTAAACCCAGTTAGAGCTGGAACACTAAATTAGACGACAAACTACATAAGCTTTCTAAATATTAGAGGAAAAAAAATCTCAGTCTCACCTGTTGATGCCCTGTCATTCGAGCTTTAGGGTGCTTGCTTACAGAAGGTTCCCATAGAAACATGGTGAAATCATCAGAACCTGAAACCAGTCTCTCTGGAGCATCACCTCTCATTTTGTTGTATCTAGCCAAAGCAACCTTGGTTTAAACATGGAATGATAGATCAGAAACCAACTAAACTGAATTATAACAAAACAAAAAAAGGATATGAAACAGGCTCTTAGCTATGCAGTCAAGAAATATCTGTGAGCTTCTTAGTTCCTTAGAAGACTATATAAAGCAAATTAATTCTACTTTCTGTCTCAGGTGACAACTCTAACCAAAGGCCAGTTTCTATACATTCCATTTATCAGAACAATTATTCGAAAATGTGAGCTAAATACATAACTATACGAAGAAAAAAGATGGAATAATATCTATGAAAAGACTTGCGCACTCTTAGAAAAATAACCACTTGAATGACAATATGGATGACTCACAACTATAGACTCTAACTTCTGGAGCTGAAAGCATAGAGATTGAAATCTATGTTACCTCCTTCATTTCCTCTGGGGAAGAACACTTCTTTCCTGTGTGATCAAAAGCTCCGGTCCGAAGGACATACTCAGTACTAAGTGCCAGAGAATTGACCCAATGTCCATGGCCCTAACATCAAGGTTATAGTACATTAAACAATGCAATGAAGAAATTTAGGTCCAGGTAAAGAGAAGAGAACTACACATCAAACAATACTGGTGACAATTAAGGGTTAATGAATAATGTGAGGGAGTCCACTAATGGCGAAGAATCCACAGTTCCTTAAGTGACCTGCAAACTCAATACCAGAGATAACCTCACTACAACAGCACCAGGAATGCAGTTCATTGCTAACTGATGTCACACACAAAGAACATCATCAATTACAGCAAAAAAATCAGAGAAGTCATGAACACCACAAATGAAGAGAAAATCACGAAAAATTGTGATCTACGGCAAAATATAATCACAACCAATAAACATATATCTAAAAAAAAAAAGACAAACAAATAAACAAAACAAAAAGAATTGCATTCAACACACTGCAGGGTATGACTTGAAGAATCCTTGATAAAGTTGTCTAATATACCTTCAACTCACGAATTAACTTCCCCTGTTTAGTTTCCCAAACTTTTATGGTACAATCCTGAGAGCTGTTTCAGGTAAAAAAAATAAAAAATTAATTAAATAAATAAAAATACATTATATGAGCAACCAACACAATTGAGAGCTCTGGCTAGCATTACTAATTATTAAAATGATCAACAGACTAGTCAAAGACTCTCATAGTAAAAACAAGATAGTCACCATACAAAACATGGATAGTTCTTAAGACAACACAAGTGATTAGCAGTAGACTCTTTAAGGTAACTAAATTGTCTGACATATAAAACATGGAAAGCTCTTATAACAACATAAGAGATCAATAGGAAAGCAGGGGCATCATGCCACAGGCTACACGGCTACACCATCATACAAGCTTCTGCTTAAAAAAATCTGAATGACCTTGTCCAAGACATAATCACTGCGAGTTATCAGGCACTGCATTTGGAACACGAATAAGGCTTCCAACACAAACAATGACATCCCAAGGCATTAGATCTCGAACTTGTTTAACGGTTATGTCCCTCAAATTAAGCCAGAAAAATCTACATGGAGAGCTTACACCTTGATAATTTTGTCTCACTAGAAATTCATGTCCATGACCATCCTTGGAATAAGCAATTGGTAGTGAAAGCAAAGACTTGAAAATACTTATATCAGACATGGTAAATAGTGGAACCCAATAATTTTTGAACCATGGTAAACTACTAATCAACCAAATCTATGCTACAACTTAAATAACATAAATTATTAAAAATTGAAATCAAGACCAAATATACAAAATTATTCAAAGCAGAAAAATGAACTTGATCAAAATGCTACTTCAAATCGATCATTCAAAACCACAACAAAAATACCAAGAAATTGCATCCCACAACAAATCCATCTAAAAACAACCAAAAATCCATCTAAAAACAACTAAAAATCGGATACCCATAACCACAATCAACCAAAGCCCTAATTTCAAAACTAAAATAACAAAAACTCAACCAAATTATAAAATTATTCAACATCATAAGATAACCTTAACCTCGAAAGAGAGTATAATAATGGGGTAAGAACAAAAACTTTGGGTTGTCGCAAGACAACAAAGGAGGAGGAGGCGGGACGCCGTGAAGAAGAAGAGAGAGAGGTGCCACCTGAAACTCTAAAAATCCAATAACCAATCGCGACCACCGTCACATCGCCTTGATGCCGTGAAGAATGAAGATAGAGTGTTGTGGTGGTGGAAAGGGGTGCGTAGTGGTGGAGTCAAGAGGGAAATGGGGAAAGGTAGAAGGAGAAAGGAGAAGCAAGTTACAGATCGAGGAAAAGGAATTGAAAAAGAAAGACGCAAGTTACGTACGTTGGAATAACCTAACCCGGGTTTTTTTTTTTCTCAAATATGGCACCGGTTTGAACCAGTGCTAATTAACATAGTTGGCAAATCGATGCCAACTCTATGCCATACTTACTATTTTTTTTTTAAAAAAATAAGTTGGCACCGGTTTGAACCGGTGCTAATTAAATGATTGGCACCGATTTTGGTTGGAATCGGTGCCAACTCTGAATTTTTTAATCCCGCCCATTTCTTTTGTCACCGGTTCTTGGGGGGGGTGCCTATTTCATTTTCTCTACTAGTGATATAAGCCAACCAAGGAAGAACTTGAAGCTCATGATGCCAAAATAAGGGTACATAGGAACAACAATAAGAAAGGGATAATTTCATTATTCCCATCTTACAATCAAACCCTTAATGGACAATTCCTTAGGGAGGGAGAGAACTACCCATGCTATGACTTTCCATAACCACTAGTTCTTGAAGGTATCAAGAAGCCTGGATTCAAGTTTTTTTCCGATTGCTACTTCTTGAATGATGACTTAAGTGTCACTCAATCAAAACACCCAACTCCAGGGTGTTATGATAAGCAAGCCTTTAACTTGCTATTTGGACTAGAGCAAAACCACGTCGATGTCAAAACCAATCAAAACACTATCCAAGATGAAGCTTTTGACCCTACTTTGTTGATCACCCCTTTAAATAATACCTTCGAGCATGGATGGAGAAAGACCTTTAAATGGACTAACCACAAGGGTGACAAGATAGAAATCACCAATGCAAAGGACAAATGTTTGAAGAATCCGATGACGAGTCTAGTTTAGATTTTAAGGAAGCTGAGAATTCAGGCCTTGTGGCCATTATTGAGTCTTTACTTTCTAGTTCTAAGGACGAGGATCCCAAAAAGGATTCCTCTCTTGATGTACATTCTTTTAATTTCAATCAGACGAGCTCTACTTCCGAGTATATGCCTTCTCTTGAATCTTTTGAATGCTATAATAATCAATCTAACCAAAATGATGATATTAATAAATTGATTGAATTAATGAATGAACGAGAACAAAAGAATCTTGTGATTGAAGAAACTGAAACGATCAATATAGGAACAAACGAAAACAAGAAAGAAGTCAAAATTAGCCTAACCTTAAATCCGGAAGAGCGATCGACTCTCATATCGACACTTAAAGAATTTGAAGACGTGTTTGTTTGGTCATACAAGGACATGCCTGGAATAGATAGGGAAATTGCGGAACATACCATTCCCTTGAACCCTATGTCTAAACCAGTAAAAAAAACTTCGACGGATGAAACCTGACGTTGCTATAAAATTAAAAGAAGAAGTACAAAAACAATTAGATGCCGGTTTCATTCGCATATGTAATTACCCAAAATGGGTAGCAAACATCGTCCCACTCCCTAAAAAGGATGGACGAGTTCGCATGTGTGTCAACTTTAGGGACCTCAACAAAGTCAGTCCTAAAGACGATTTCCCTTTACCACATATTGATATATTGGTGGATAATACGGCTGAACACGCGATGTTATCCTTCATCGATGAAGAAAAGACATGCTTTGTTACTCCTTGGGGTACTTATTGCTACACAGTTATGTCATTTGGTCTTAAAAATGCAGGAGCTATGTACCAGAGAACAACTACGACTCTCTTGCATGATATGATGCACAAAGAAACAGAGGTATATGTGGATGATATGATTGTAAAATCCATAGATAGAATGGATCATACAAAAGCTTTACGCAAATTCTTTGCACAAATTAAAGAGTACAAGATGAGATTGAACCCACAAAAATGCACTTTCGGGGTAACTTCCGGCAAGTTACTCGGATACGCCGTAAGCACATATGGCATTGAGATCGATCCCTTGAAAATAAAGGCAATAGTTGACATGCCTCCCCCACAAACAGAAAAACAAATTAGGGGGTTTATTGGTAAATTACAGTACATTAGTCGATTCATTAGTAAGTTGACAATGACTTGTGAGCCAATATTCAAAAAAATGAGAAAAGAAGAAAAACATGAATAGGACGACCAATGTCAAGAGGCCTTTGAGAAAGTAAAAAACTATCTCAAAAGTCCTCCAGTTTTAGTACCACCACTACCCAAACTACCTCTTAGACTTTATATCACTGTCATGGACTTGGCCACAAGGGCCATGCTCGCACAAGAGGTAGATAAAATAGAGCGTGCAATATACTACATAAGTAAAAAAATTATCCAACATGAAACAAAATATAGCACTTTAGAAAAAACGTGTCTAGCATTAGTGTGGGCAACTGAAAAACTACGATATTACATGCTCCCCCACACCACTCATGTGATTTCTCAACACAATCCAATAAAGTATTTGTTTGAACAACCACCCATACAAGGAAGAATATCCAAGAGGTTGGTGATGTTGGCCGAATTCGAACTCAAATATATTCCTGAAAAATCAATAAAAGGAAAAGTAAAATCCGATTTTCTGGCCCAACATCCTATTCAAACAAGTCCTGAAGAAACCACTCATCTTCTGGATGAAGAAATTCTCATGACCTAAGATGACAAATGGGTAATGTACTTCGATGGCGCATCCAACCAAAAAGGGTATGGCGTAGGAGTATTACTCATAAGTCCAAAGGGAGCACATACTCCAATCCCTGCCAAATTAGACTTTGAGGCTACTTATAATGCCCAGAATGTGAGGCGTGCATTGTTGGATTAAAAGCAGTAGCTAGCATAGGTGTGCAAAAATTAGAGATATATGGTGATTCCAATCTAATAATAAATCATATACTCAAAAAATGGAAAATCAAAAACTCCACAATGATATTATACCAAGCACACCTAGAGAAACTCATCGAGCAATTTGATTATATTGATTTTAAATATCTCCTAAGGAATGAAAATAAATTTTCCGATGCGCTAGCAAAATTTACCTCAATGATCAACATTCCTGATCAATTAAATATGATGCCATTATGAGTTGAAAGAAGAGATGAATTAGCTTATTGCAACACAATAAAGGAATTAAATGACATCGTAGGGGAAAGCCCCTGGTATGATCATATCCTCCAATATATTACTCATGGCACATATCCTGCAAATACTTCATCTAAAGACCAACGCACCTTGAGAACGCTCGCAGCCCATTATGGGATGGTTAATGGTCGATTATGTAAAAAAGGGCCAATTGGTCAAAGCTTATTATGTATAGACCAACCCGAGACCACACGCCTTATGGAGGATACTCACAAAGGTGTTTATGGACATCACATGAATGGAAAAATGCTCGCTAATATAATCTCACGTTTAGGGTACTTTTGGTCCACAATGTAACATGACTGCATTCAATATGTCAAGAAATGTCCAAAGTGCCAAATGTTTGCTAACTTACAACACCTTCCACCATCCAAACTATAGAATCTCACTTCCCCTTAGCCATTCTCAACTTGGGGAATTGACATTATTGGTAAAATTTTTCCAACAGGAACGGAAGGGCACGAGTACATATTAGTAGCCATCAACTACTTCACTAAGTGGATCGAGGTTGCCTCTTACGTTAATATCACTTCTAAACATGTTGCAAAGTTTCTCGAACGAAACATATTTTGTAGATATGGAGATCCACACGAACTAATTAGTGACCAGGGATCTCAATTCAAAGCATAAGTTGAATCCTTCTTGGCTCGTTGCAAAGTAAAACATCACCATTCTTCCCCACATCGACCTCAAATGAATGGAGTAGTAGAATCGGCAAATAAAAACATAACAATCATCATTAAGAAAATGGCAGAACATTATAAAGGCTGGCCGAATAAACTACACTTTGCTCTTTGGGGTTATAGAACGTCCATATGAACTTTTATAGGAGTAACTCCATACTCCTTAGTTTTCGGCATGGACGCAATTCAACCAATTGAACTGAAAAATTCCATCCATATGCATCGTACTCAAAAGTAAGCTACCAAAAGCTGAATGGGTTTGAGCTAGGTATGAAAAGCTTTTATTCCTCGACGAATGATGAATAAAAGCTTTGCATCATGTACAATTCTACCAACAACGCATTGCGCGACATTTTAACAAACGGGTACGACGCCGTAATATTAAAGAAGGTGACTTTGTACTAAAAGAGGTTTGAGGTCCTCCAACTGATCCACGAGGGAAATTTAAACCCAATTGGATAGGACCATACCGCGTAATCGAAATTCTATCAGGGGGGCAGTTAGATTAATGGATATTCGTGGCGATGAAATCCGTCAACTAATAAACATTGATCGCCTTAAAAAATACTACATATGAATTCCGGATAAACTCGTTCATTCAAATATTCTAAATCAAATTTCATAGCATTCAAACCAAAGATTCTAAGTGCTATAAATTTTACCGAACTCCACGATAAAATTCATTACACTTGGAGGGGGGGTGTAGATCAATAAAAATTATATACAAAATCAACTAATAAACATTGATCGCCTTAAAAAATACTACATATGAATTCCGAATAAACTCGTTCATTCAAATATTATAAATCAAATTTCATAGCATTCAAACCAAAGATTTTAAGTGCTATAAATTTTACCGAACTCCACGATAAAATTCATAACACTTGGGGGGGGGGAGATCAAAAAAAAATAAATACAAAAAAAATATTCTCGCTTAAGTGTTTCAAATTTTAACAAACCATACGGTAAAATTCACAACACTTAGGGGGGTAGACAAAAAAAAAAAAAAAAAAAAAAAAAAAGAGGTCAATCAAAACGAGTCGTTCAAGTGTTCGGATTTTTTCGAACTCCACGAAAAAATTCCTCACACTGGGGGGGGTAAATAAGATATAAAAAAAAAATTCACTCGTTTATTTTAAACCTTGGTAAGAAAAACAAAAAAAGAAGCGAAACACTCGCAACACAGGTGCCGCGCGTAACTCACAAGGTTGCG